AAAAAACGTTGTTTAATTTACTAATAACTAATAATAAGTTATTATTTATACCGTAATGCATAGAAATTCTTGATTAACTTGTTATTGATTCAAAATAAATAATAATCAATCAAACGCTTAAAGTAAACATTTTCCCATTATTTCTAATTGTCTATAAAAAAAACATTTTGCAAAGAATTGCTTTATAAGCATATAAAATAGTTATTAAATTTTTTGTGGTAAAAAAACTAAAAATAATAAATTGAATGCAATGTTAAAGTTTCCTCTTGTGTTGCAATTCAGGAAAATATTGTTTGGTATTTGTAATGGATTTAAACTTTTGAATTAATTATATCTTGTTTTGGTTATCATATATTAGGGTTATTTTAGGCGTGTTTTCGTGATTAAAACTAATTTAGAAAACTCTTTGTTTTATTAAAAGGTCTGTTTAGTAAACAGAATAATGTATTCAAACAATATTTTTAAGCCATATATCAAACGATATGCGAATAAGTAAAAAATCAATGAATTGTTTGCAATGTTTGTGCAATTTTTATAATTTGATCGATTGGTGAGAAATTACATTTACTTATAGACAGACTCTATAATTATTGAACTATAGCCAGACTTACGGGCGATAAAAATCAATTATTATATTTTTAATTGATTTACTTTTAAATATAATGGCAAACATGTAATACACGTAACCCTCTATTCATCCGTCTATCGTCTCAACTCTTTTCTCTGTCTCCTATTTTTATCAATCATTCAAATCTACTCTTATATTGTATTTCAATGAGAGATACAATGTTTTAATAAATATCTGTCAAACTTGTCTCAAACATAACTCTTGAGTCAAAACTGAACCCTAGATTACCATTCCTCACCACTGTAGAGAAAAGGTCGTTTGTTCACCAGCTGTCTTGTCCAAAACAGCCTTGGTTACTACTTCAAAAGTTGGTTATTTTCAATCCTAGTTTAGTTTGTGAGCTAAAGGCTTTCATTGCCATCAAAGTTAGAGGAAGTCGTATTAAAGTCATGAATCGCCTCTTATTTGGTATTTATTTTTTGATTTTCATTTTATTTGTCATTTAATTCGTTGTTAAAACATTAGTTTTGAAAGAGAAGATTAGAATTAATAAATTCTAAATTTTATTAAACATTGATTTAAGCGAACAATCGATGGATTCAAAGGTTTGGGATCGAGAGAAGAGGCAAACAATTAGTGAATAGCAATCGTCACAATTGGTCCACAACTAAAGCCATTATCAACGATGAATTGGAGGCCATTAGAAGTTCCGGTGTCTGGAAAGCGGAACGTATTATCACTTCGAAACAGGACTCGCATATCAGTGTCGAGGGAAGGACTCAACAAGTGATCAACTTTTGTGCCAATAATTATCTCGGATTATCTGTTAGTTTAACTTTTCATTTACTTTTCCTTTCGTTAGTTTTCCTTAAAAGTGAATGTATTTGATATATATTTTCACAATTAATGTATGGCTTAGAGTAATGCCGAAGTGGTCAGCGCCGGGAAGGATGCGCTCGACAAATATGGTTCGGGTTTGAGTTCCGTCCGCTTTATTTGCGGCACTCAAGACATACACAAAGCACTTGAGGCCAAAATCGCCAAATTTCACGGCCGAGAGGANGTGATCAGCGCCGGGAAGGATGCGCTCGACAAATATGGTTCGGGTTTGAGTTCCGTCCGCTTTATTTGCGGCACTCAAGACATACACAAAGCACTTGAGGCCAAAATCGCCAAATTTCACGGCCGAGAGGACGCCATTCTGTACGCCAGTTGTTTCGACGCAAACGCCGGACTCTTCGAAGCGCTCCTATCGGCTGAAGACGCCATCATTTCCGATGAGTTAAACCACGCGTCCATTATTGATGGCATCCGATTGAGTAAAGCGCAGAGATTTCGGTATAAACACAGAGATATGAATGATTTGGAGGACATTCTCAAGAATAACCAAAAGGCGAGAAATCGGTTGATAGCAACGGATGGTGTGTTTAGTATGGATGGAAATGTGGCCCCACTTAACAAGATCTATCAATTGGCCCAAAAATACAACGCTATTGTATTCGTGGACGAGTGTCACAGCACCGGGTTCTTTGGCAATACAGGCCGCGGCACCGAAGAGTTCTTCAATTTGAGCGGTAAAATCGATATAATAAACTCAACTTTGGGTAAAGCCCTGGGAGGCGCCGCCGGGGGCTATACTACGGGCAACAAAGAGCTGATAGATCTATTGCGCCAAAGATCGCGACCCTATCTGTTCTCCAATTCATTACCGCCAGCAGTGGTCGCCTCCGCCTCCAAAGTATTTGATTTATTGACACAAAGCTCTGCGTTAACCGAAAGAGTCAAACGAAACACAACTGTCTTCAGGACTGAAATGAAAAGTTTTGGTTTCAATATTTTGGTATTTATTTTCATGACTAATATAATGTCTCAATAGATGTATATATGATTAAATTCTTGTCCCAAAGGGTGACGATCATCCCATTTGCCCCGTTTTTATCGGTGACGCCCGACTGGCCACTAATTTTGCTGATCAAATGCTCGGTATATTTAATAAAAGTTGGCAAAAGTTGTATTTGAATATAAATGTATTGTTTTTGTATAGAGAATGGCATTTATGTGATTGGATTCAGTTATCCAGTGGTACCCAAAGGAAAGGCCAGAATTCGGGTTCAAATATCTGCCGCACATTCGGATGAAGACATTAAGAAGACAATCGACGCCTTCGTTAAAGTCGGACGAAAATTGCAAGTAATTTAATGCAAAGTATAAATGACAGCATTTTCAGGCACTCATTAATATGAGATTCAATTTTATAATTAAACATCAATTGTTTGAATTTCAAGTTTACATTCAATATAGTGTTAATTATAAGATATTTGATATATTTCTCTAATTACAGTCAAAACACATTAACTGTAATATTAATATTCAATACACGTAACACTGATATGTGAGATATGCGTGCAATTTATACTCAATTTATTCATACAATGTTTTAATTATAACTTTTAAGTTAATTATTACTCAATACCCGATATATTGATATTTTAAATACCACTCAAATTATTGTTATCATAAAAAATAATCGTTATTTCTCTTAAAAATCAATTTATTGTTATTAATACTTGAGTTTTAAATAAATTGTCATTAAATTAAACATAAATTCAATAATAAAAATATATAAAGAACTCAAAAACTCAAATCCTATATAATAAACACAAATGAATTAATAAATGTCTAAATGAATGACAAAATGATTTGTAAATTAATTAGAAATAATTATAAATTAATTAATACTAAACATAACCTAAAAATTTACTTAAACCTAATGGTCGTGTCGTTATTGGCTTTTCTTCTTCGCAATGGCTTTACTGCTGGCCTTCTCTTCCTTACCGGTCGACCACTTCTTCAAGTGTCCGAACCGTCGGTCCACCCATTCTTCGTGCTCTTTGTCCGTCCATTTCATACCACTCTTGTCCGAAGAAGACGTGTCTTTCGACTCCTTATTGGCCGACAAATGGCTAAACCGGTGAACACCTGAAGACGTGGCACCGCTTCTCGCCGTACGGATGCCATTCAGTGTGACAGCAGATCCTCTCTTCAGGGCAGTCATCAGCAGTGATTGTGTGGCCATTGGATTCGATTACTTCTTCAGTTGATATGACTATTGAATTGAACACAAATGTGAGACACGTTTGGATCAAATGAGAGACAATAGACAAGTGTTTCCAGACGTGGGCTTCACTTAAATGTCAAAAGCATTTGAAACTCTCACAGACTATGACGTCAACCAAATGCCCAAAGAGTCCGCCCTATAGTTCGTTACTCTACTCGACATTACACTCAACCCCTCGACCGCATAGTAATTGCTAAATACGTTTACCCCTTTAAAATCCCTTCCCCTTAAATAACGTATCGTTGTTTGCGAATAGCGCTATAAAACACATGTGCGTTGGCTGTGGTGTGTTGTGCGCATGCGTTGACCGTATGGTTGCATATGTAGTGGTAATTGCGATAAAACGTTAATTTATTAGTGAATGCAATAATCAATAGGTGTTTGAAATCAATACTGAATTGAATATAAATAATGGAAAAATCATTTAATGAGCAAAACTTATTGGAGAGAAAACTAACTGAATTAGAGACCAGATTCAGACAATTGTCTCAATTGGACACCGATTGCCAACCATTTGACTCAATCCGTGAGCGCCTTATTATTGGTCACACATATTGCCGACACATGTGTTAACTCTAATCACAATTGCATTGATTTTTCAGCCGAATTGAGTGAACTTCGGACCGAAAATACAAAACTCAAGTTTAGGTTAAGTGTATTGAAGAACTCCATCGACGACGAGAAGAAGCGACAAATGCAGTCATCAGCCAATCCCACGACCGATGGTTTGTGTCAAAGCGATTGTCCATTTGATGAGTCCGTGTATTCATTATTAATCTCTCGTTTTTGAACCCAATTTAGAGCCGAAGAGCGCTAAAAGCCAATCGTTTTCCGCAAACATGATTGAAGACAAGACAGCAATGAATAGTGTTTTGCATTCAATTAAGAAACTGTTCGGAACCGCTATCCGAGAGGCGTATCCGCAGCTCACGAACGCACCGCTTCTGGTGACGCGTTCAGATCACGCGGACTACCAGTGCAACAGCGCTCTGCCATTGAGTAAATACATCGGCGGCGATAAGCGACTCAACCCTCTGGATGTGGCCAACACTCTCATCAAACACCTGCCGCCGAACCCAATGATGGGCGAAGTGGCGGTCGCGAGGGCCGGATTCATCAATATTACGCTCAACAAAGAGTTTGTGTCGAAATCCATCTTAAATGTGGTGACGAATGGCGTTCGCGTCCAATCGTTGGCCGACAAGAGCGCCAACAATCGGGTTGTGATCGACTACTCGGCGCCGAACATAGCGAAGGAGATGCACGTCGGGC